GATGTGATGTAAATGTAACATTTTCTACATATAGGTCAAATTAATCACTAAAATAAAATAACTTTGTTTTTGTTTCAAATCATTAAATTCAGTTTCAGTTTAGTGAAATTTATTTTCAAACCAATGAATTCAGTTTCAAATTCTGCACATTCASATTCAATCTGAGCAATTCAGATTCACTTCCTGTTGGCACAAGARTGATTCCATATKAAAGCTGTAAACTCCTTTAGGGTTTCAGAGTGAAGCTGTAGTTTGAAGGGTTCATTATTCTGCTCACTAACAGCCTCAGAGATGCTTCCATCCTGCCCGCAGACACGCTGACTCACCATTGTTGTGACATTTAACAGTCATTTTCCTCAGGTGGACTATCAAAGTAAAGGTTTGTCCAATTACAGAGCAGTCTGCAGACACCAGCGTTTCCCTCCAGAGCGCCACTTTGAGACTCACTTTGCGTTTGGGCTGCACGAGGAGGAGTGTGACGAAGATCGTGATTCAGGAGGAGATCAAACAAAGTGAACAGCTCCAGCCTGAGCACTGACAGATTTCACTTATCTGCCTTCATCAGGAGGAGGCGCAAGAGCCTCGACACACAAGGACACATCACGTCAAATGTCTGAATAATGAAACTAAACCTGAAGCTTCAGGTCTTCTTCCTACCTGGTGGCAGATCTCGTGGACCACCACCATGGTGAGCTCCATCTTGTAGGAGGAGGAGGAGACCTCCACGTCCAGCAGGACCTTCTGCTCCACGAAGACGTTCAGACCCCAGTTCTCCATGGCAGCGTAGGGATGTTTGGGCACCGCCAGCAAGTCTGAACCAACAGAAACAAAGATGTTCAAACTGTAAAAAACACGAGTCAGGAGGAGAACAAACAGCCTGCAGAACCTAAACATTCATGGTTTTAAATCAAAAACCTGCAGAAAAATATAATAAAAGGTCTAAAACCTTTTTAAAAACACGTTTTCTGAATAAAAACTGATTTACTGACGGAGAGAATTGGAGAAAATTTAACAGGATGTTTTTATGTCACAAAATAAAAAAAGAAAAGAGAGAAAATAAAAGGTGTAAAGGTGAAAATGAGTTTTCTCACGTCTGGTTTAAAAAAAAAAAAAAAAGCAGCCAAAAGCCTTCAGAAAACCTTGAAG